TACTAAATTGTAAACTAAGTACTGATCTGACTGGATATTTCAGCGTTCTCTGCATTCTGCGCTGATTACTTTGCCTGGAATCATGATGTGACAAAGACAAACGCAGCTGAATTTTGAACTTAATTGTGGATGAAATCATCTTTAGTTCTGTAAACTGTGTGAATCAAATTAAACGTATTATAGTTCACTGTGCTGAGCTGAGTGCTGAGAGATCATAAAGCTTCATCTGCTGGAATGTGCAAATCGATGAAATCATACTGAGCTGATTAGCATTGCTGGGCCTGTCAGCTCAAATCTAACTTTTGTTTATGACTCGTTGTTGTGGAATCTGGAATTTTACAGGAAAGAGTCCAGAAGGACTTTTCTGGGAAGCATTATCACAAATCCAAATGATTTCCTGTGACAAAATCACTCATCATCATGCAGAAATCCAGTTGCTGAATGTTTTAATCTGATTACTTGATTGAAATGCTGATTATGGTGGACGTCGGCTGAATTAAAAACATGCTCGGGGTAAAGAAATAAAGAGCAACTTCTGACAGCCAGACAAACTTCAGACACTAAGAAAAGGTCAGCCATTCACATTCATTTATCTACCTGAATGAAGCTGTCAGGTTTCAGGAGGATCCACTTTATAAGGGAATAAAGTGGATTCAAAGCTGTGACTAATTGCTTTTGGCTTATGAAGCTCCACTACAGTATTCTGTCCATTTTACTGTTATTACAGTACTGTGCAAAAGTTAGAGACCACCCTTTCTTTTACTTAATTTCCATTCAAAACAGCCATTACATAGCAGTTATCCTTTTTTTAGATTCAGGAAAAAACAGAAAACATATGTGTAACACAAAAGCCTCAGTCACTAAGTATAATCTCAATTTTTTCAGTATTGACTTTCTCCACTCTTTCATGCACATACAGCCACTTTAACTCTTCCATCATTCCAGTCTTAAAACTAACCAGTTACAGCTGTGTCCTCCAACAAAAGCTGTTCCCAAGGGAGTCACTGACTTTATGCTCCTCTTCAAAGAGACACTAACATTCACAGAGGCAGCCACCCAAACTCAGCTTAACTGGCCTTAACTTTCTTTCTCATGTGCATGTAAAATGCTAAAGGAGATATTTCTGAGGAGATTAGACAGAAGATAACCCACTTGCATTAGCAAGGAGAAAGTCAAAATAAATTAAGTGGAAAAAAATTGGAGTATAAAAAAATGATTAAAAGATACAGAGAAAATGAGACTCACAACCACCTGCAAGACCTGGTAGACAACCAAAACTGTCCCCATCAGATAAACAGCACTTACACCTTACATCTTTGAGAGGGAGGAGAAAATCAAGCTCCACTCTTACTTCAGATCTGAAAAAATCAGGTGTTTTATGGACTGATGACTTTAAATGTGTAAATGGTATTACTCAGATCATAAGAAGCAGAAAACACAACAAACTTCTAAGACTGAACTTTAAACGTGTGGAAAATATATCACAGCAGATTTCTGAAAAGCTGAAAGCAAGTCTCAATAAACAAATAAAAGCTCAAATAGAGTCAAAGAGTGGACACACTAAATACTGAAAATTAGTTGTTGAGGCATTAGTGTAAATTTCTGTTAAACACACAGTCATATTCAAAATTTTAGGTGCCCCTGATCAAAATGCAAGTTTTGTTGATTTTCTAAGTGAAAATAAGTTAAAACATCCTCTACAGCAGGGGTGTCACACTCAACTACTAAAAGGGCCATATTAAAAAATCTCCACAATCCATGGCCCACAGAAAAAATTTGTTTTTATTCCATTTTTTATTAATGTTGTGCTATAACCCAGACTGGCCGGTAATGTTTATTCAACGTTACCGGTTTATCTGTAGGCTAAATACAACAATTAAACTAACATAAAACCAGTTTCATAAAAAGTTATGACATTTGAAATATGTATTCAGCTGTAAATCAGATCAGTAAGTACTCAATTGTAAACTAACTTCAGCAGTAAAATATAGACACATGTAGTAGACCTAGAAATATTACATGAACATTTGAAAACTAGACACCTGGCATCCTTTCTCTGCTGTTCATTTATACTTAGGCTCAATTTCTGAGCTGCTGAGCTAACGTTGTGTTTGGTGATATGATTGGTGTGAAATTGCGTAGAATAGTGTAGAATTGAGGTGTAACCGCTGTCCCATGGATTGCTGTTGGGGTAGGAGAGTCAGAGCACACATTACGTTGCAGTGCATGCTGGGGACTGTAGTGCAGCACATTGTGAAACGAGCTAATATTAATAGAAAATTAAAATACTTTTGCGGCCCACATAGGATTGTGTCGCAGGCCTCGTGTTTGACACATGGGCTCTACAGAGAACACACTTCTGCACAATTTAATAAACAACTGCTGTTCATTTGCTGAATTTAACCTATTGGAAAAAAATATATATAATGTGGACTGTGCAAAAGTAATAGCACACATTATATTTTACGTAATACATAGAAATTGTGCACTAAAATTGACAGAAAAGTGCCATATTTAAGTTTGTTCCCTGTAAAGGATGTTAACTTATTTTCACTTAGAAAATCAACAAAATGACAAAAAATGAATAACTTAATGGCCATTTTGACTGGAAAATAAATAACAGTGTGGTTAACTCTGACTTTTGTGCAGTACTATATGATCCACAATAACAAAATAATATCAGCGCCCTGTTTTAAATCCCATGACCAGGATACCATTTTAAACTTCATTTTTTTCATTACACAAATCTGTTTACCAAGCTCAATTTCATAGCCATCAAAACTTAATTCTCTCTAAGCGCACCTCCATGCTTACGTCTCCATGGTTGGAACCAGCACAGGATATATACGATGGCTTATGCAGCCATTAAAGTAATACAGCCCTTAATCTCCGAGCCACAATTATACCACGTAAGAGGATAACACAAGCCACATCTTACTACATCCTAATGCAACTTAGGAGCTCCACATTTCACACACCCGCACACTTATCAAGAATTAAGCTAAAGATGCACAACAGTGCAAACACATAAGGACAAGACGTGGATGACCCAGAAACATCTTTCCCAGCCCAAACCATTTTCACCAACTATCTACAATAAAAACAGAATAGCTCTCAGCATGCATGTACACACTGGGGCCTAACCGATATGAAACTTCTGTCACTGATTCTGATTTTAAAGCCAAAAATTCTGATAACTGATAATACTGGATGACATCATTTTACATGAATGATACTCAGCATGTCTAAAAGTTTGAATACACCATCCAACGTTTCTGCTGAAATCAAGGATATTAATCGGGAGTTTGTCAACCCTTTGCTGCAGTAACAGCCTCTACTCTTCCGGTGAGGCTTTGCACTAGATGTTAGAACATTGCTGTGAGCATTTGATTGCATTCAGCCACAAGAGCACAAGTGAGGTCAGGTACTGATGTTGTATGATTAGTTCTGGATCACATGCGTCACTCTAAATCTTTCCATTGCTCCAGAGAACACAGTTCCACTGCACCACAGCCCAATGCTGGGCCTCTAGCTGACACTTGGCATTGAGTATGGTGACCTTAGACATGTGTGGCTCAAATAAACTCACATAAACAGCAGAAACTCACAAAGACTTATTTACATAAACATAAAACAAGTTAGCGTGAATATAAAATCATAACACACTTTTCCTCAGTACTAAGGTGTTTTTCTGAGTGAATGACGGTATCAGGGAGGGTCGCTGAGCTAGCTGAGCATTTGCTCTAGATCATAGGTGAGGATGGTGGGTGGGGGAGATAAAACACAATATAATTAGTTAATATTATTATTCCCATGTGCTAGTGCACGGTGAAAAAAGGTATCAAAAGTCTGATTTCAAGGAAGGAAGACAGGAAACAAGAATTTTGTCTTTTAAATAATATGATATCACAAATTGTGCTTAATGTGACCAGAACATGAACTAACAAGGTAAATGGTCCATTTTGATTTCAGGTTAGCTTTACTAACCTTATAACTTACCCTTATCATGGAATATCTAATATTTTTCTAGCTTTTTTGAGATAAATGAATTTGATGTAGGATGTAATTCACTCTTAACCAATGTCTATTTTCACTTACACCAGTTTAGCATGTCCATTCTTATTTAAGCCATAAGTGTTTTAGCCCAGACTCCTTTTTAAAAGAGGCACAATACAGGGCAGCCAATCAGAACAGAGCTCATTTACATACATCAGTCTTAAAGGCACAGTATCAAAAACATTAATTTATATACTTTAATACTCCTGTTATCAGTTATCAATAGTTAGTCTAAACACTTCTGTCCAGCGAAAAGCTCACTTTCCTTTATTAAATATTCACTACTGTGTGTTCATTCTTTATCCTTTATTCACATTGTTCTTGTTGTGTCATTGTTTTGATATCCAGTGTCGACCAGAGGAGGACGGGTTCCCTTTTTTTGAGCCTCTGACTTACTCACCTGGGGTTGGACCCAGATTTCTGTAAAGCTGTTTTGCGACAATGACTGATGTAAAAAGTGCTATACAGATTCATTTAAATTGATTTGAAAATTCAAAGGTATTTCAGTGGTTGGAAATATTTATGTAAATACGAATTATGGCTGTTGGTACACTGATCCTTACAAACCTTGCAAATGCACCATGGAATTAATAAAATCCAAGAAAATGTAGGATATGGGTTATGCATACATAACATGAATTCTCATAGTGCTGAACTCAAACAAGAGCACATTGAAAGCACATTGTCTGTTCTACTTAACCAAAGCACCGCACAAATTGATTGTATACTGACACAAAAAATGTTTTTTTAACTGATTTTTTTTTTTACTATTTCTAGGTGGGATTGTTATACTTCAAATCCCATACATGTAGCTTTTGTTAAAAATCACAGGATCATTTTGTTGGTCCTGAAAAGGTAGTTTGCCCCTGATTTTCTCTGGTTTCCCTACAAAGGAAAAGATAATGTAAAAAAACCCACTTGTACATATCTCTGTGCATCCTCACCTGAGTCTCCTCCTGCACGGCGCGGTACTGCTCCTTCCACACAGCCACCTTTGAGGCCTCATCCTTTCGCAGCGCTCGCTCCTTCTTCAGCTCGGGGCTCCAGAAGGTCTTGATGGAGCTCATGGAGGAGCTGAGCTTGCTCTCCTTCACCTCCACCTCCTTCCGCAGAAGGTCGTTCTCCCTTAGCACCTCCTTCAGCTGCGCCTGGAGCTCCATGATGGTGTTGTCACGGGCCTGGCGCAGGGAGTGTGGGACGGTGGAGGCTGTGTGGAGTTCACTGCCGAAGCCCATGGAGTCGGTAGACACGGCCGGCACCATGGCCATGTCTGGAGTGCTGCCCATGACCGTCCCGCGCACGCCGTAGGGGATGCTGCCTCCGAAGCGTCCAGTGGCAGCACTGCTCTTCGGGATGTCGGAGGAGGTGGCGAGGGCCACCTCGTTGTCGCTCATGTACATGGGGCCCGACGTGGCATAAGCAGCATTGAGGGACTGGATGTTCTCCATGGAGAGGGTCTTGCCTCCAGAGCCTCCAGGCCCACCCCCGCTGCCTCCCATGCTGTTGGTGCGGCGGTGGCCCATACGGGGTGAGCGCGGCAGGCGTGGAGAACGCCCGGTGTTGCCCTGATTAGCACGGCTTCCGCCGTGATTGCCGTCCATTTTGCTCACCGAGCGGGAGCTGCCGTACATCTTGACAGGCTTCAGGCAGCAGAGCAAGTAGAGACAGCACAGATTTCAAGCTCAACTCACAACCAAGCTGACATTAACAAACCGTCATCCTCGTCTCATGTAAAGGCGTGCCTCCTGCTTTTCTCTCCACACTAGAACAGGAGCTTTCCTCCGTCAGGGAAGGACGGTCTGTCCGTGACTCTCTGTGGCTAATGTGGAACGTCTATTGTGACCTGCAGGATGAAAAACAGAAAGAAAAAGAAAAAAAGCACAGCCTTAGTATGACAAAATGCCATTAGTTATCTCTTGAGAATCGTAGCTTGATGGCAGTGCTTCTCTCAAAGGACATGGGTCACATACTGTCATGTGGGTCATGGGGAAAAAAGAGCCCACACCTGTGCTCCAGCTGGCGTCCACTGATTGGAGCAAGCGACGACTTATAAAATATATGGGACACTAAACAATACTGCTATGACACTGTTATTACAATTAATAGGCCTAAAGCGTTCTAATCATTTAAACCATTGCTGTCATCAGCACCAGCATCACTTACCCTTCCTTTAACAATTATTCAGTAGTCCATGAATGCCATCATCTGTTCATCTAAAACCATGGCCAGCACCTAACATTTCTGCATATTTTGTTCCATTTTTAGGTCACACGAAACACACCCATTGACATACATCCATAAACCACCAACTGAAGGCTATGAAAAGAAGAAAAGGTGGGGTTACACCAGATTCACACTCAAAGCGTGTAAGTATTCACACTCCAAGGTTCAATAACCAGGACTAGCGTAACAGTTGCACGATTTGGCTACTTACAATTCACAGCTGTCCGTTTTAAATACCCAAGATCACGGCCAATATGTCTGTTTTCTATATTTTCCTCAACGTTTTCTGCCTGATGTCGCCTTCATTGAGACTAGCACTGAAGGCAGACAGCCTCGCTGCAATGGTTCAGCGATCATCCCCCCTGCCCTTCTCCACCATCGCACTGCTCTCATATTATAGACACTCTTCCTTATTTTTTAAAAAAGCAGCTCGTAAAATGAGAACAATCACTCATACAATGAACACTTGCAATCGAAATTAGTTGCCCTCGACGCAGAATTCACGCTTATTTCATTCATCGCAATTTCATCCAACAAGAAAAAAAAAAAATCGAATTACCATCTGTGGCTTTATTCCGTTTGGTCAAAACGAAGAAGCGCGTGCAGATGTCCGTCCAAACGGTGTCCGATTAAAAATAAAAACAGAAGAGAATAGAAACGGACGCCCGCCTATTTTCCTCTATATTGCTTTATCATTTTTTTCATTTGCAGACATTACCAGCATCCCTTTGCCAGGGCTGGAGGGCTTCGGTGACGTCACGCCCACGCAGCCCTGCGCGCTCCCGAAGCTCGTGCCCGCGCAGCTCCGGGCGCCATACTGGAGAAGAACAGCAGGTTCACGGAGGCGAGGGCTCAGAAAGCTTTGTGAAAACTAAAAGTGTAAAAGAAAAGGTGCGGGATGTTCAAAGCCGCCCTGAGCCTCATACAAATGACCTAAATGGCTTTTGTTTATTATTGGAGGGGTCTTTATCTCGGGTGTAAGCAGATGGGAAAGCTGAAATCACTCACTTTATTGGCTGAGCACAATAGATGTACGAGGAATGAGTGTTGCTGGAATTACAGCATTCATAAATGGGCAATACTGAGTACTTTGGAAACCCATTACGGCGTTTAAAATAAAAAATCGACCACCTGAATATTATTTTGTCATTTTTAAGTCAATTGCTGTACCATTAATTTGATATACTAAGTCACTTTTAGTTTCTTAGTCATTATTTTGAGAAACTTCATATATTTTCATCTCAGACACATAAAGCATCTCAAAATAATGAGAAACCTTCTCAAAATTTTCAAGAATGTTTCTCAAAATAACTACTTAGTATCTCAAAGTAGAGATAGTATCTGAAATTAATGGCATAGTAATTCACCCATCAATGAAAAATAATCAGGTGCTGTATTTTTTTAAGTGGTGGTAATGAGCTTCCACAGAATACAAATAGTGGACAAACACTATAAATAAATGTATTATATACAGAATGTAAGCTAAATGTAAAGAGTATATACAGTTACATAGTTGCATTTATGTGTGTAAACAGGTGCAGATAAGGTAATAAGGGTATTGCAAAATATGGGCCCATATATGCTCAGTATGTGAATTAGTCCACAGGCTATTCTCAATAGTAAATAATCAGTGTAGGATATGACATATACCACACCCGATGCCTATTGCTCAGTAAATCCAAGAACCAAAGCTTTGATAAAGTCGCCGGTATGATAATGGGCAAAATCTTGTGGGCGAAAACCACATAGATCTGCGTGACTTCAGAGAAAAAAGAAGGGGGAATCAAAAGATCCAAAGGCTGTTTAATTGGTGCAATTAAATGCACATCAACAGACAGATGCTATTTTTTAATAAATGATCTAATAAATAAAATTTCATAAAATGCATTAAAATGCCGGCTCGATGGTGTCCAGTTGCGTTTCTGCTACCTTTTTAAATGTATATGCTACTGATGGTCGTGCTGCTTCGTGCCTGGTGGTATGCTGTGGTGTAAGTCGCGGATCTATCCGAGAGGGGGCGCTGAGACCGAGGTTATTGAGGTTATTGAGGCGGTTTTATTTGGGCCGTCTGGGCTAGAGGAGGAGAAGGGAATGCAGATTGTGCTTGTGAACGCTGCATGCTGTTCTGAAGCGCTCGCGGTGATTTTTTACGGGGTGTCACAGAGATGGGAAAGCTATGAAACGTTCGTCATCGATCCATAAATCATCGGAGTGGAAACTGAATGCATTACGGACTAATGGATATCAGCGTCATTCGCAATAAGTAACAAAAGCGATTTCGCGCTGCATTGGAGATTCTTCATTCTTGTACACATCTTGGAATGGCGCGTGATGGCTCTGTGTCAGGTGTAACCAAACATCTCTTTTGTTTCGGCCGCTGAATCGTGTTCAGCGGTTATAAACACTGATAGCTGAACAAGGAAACTAAGCCTGAAGAAGGAGAAGCAACAACAAAAGGAGCCGCGCGCTCTCGCGAGAGCAGCCGCGAGCGCGGAAGAAGCGCGTGCTGACATTCGAACTTTGTCACTCCGACGGCGGTTAAGTGTTCAAGCGGAGCCAGGTCGACCTCCTCAGCTTCGCTTTCTGTTTGTGAAAGACAGTTGAGGAATAAAAATACGTACAATTTCCGTAATTAGACGACCAAAAGCAAATAATAATAATAATAATAATAATATCGTACGTCAAAACTATGCAGCTGAATGAACGAGGCTAAGGGATTTACAACGGTTCCCGCGGCGCTTTCTTTACAAGCGAAGAAGAATTCAAGATGACGACGGTAAGTCTCACCAGAAGAAATAATGTCTCGGCTATATATATATATATATATATATATATATGTATGTGTGTGTGTATATATATATATATATATATATATATATATATATATATATATATATGTATGTGTGTATATGTGTATGTGTGTGTGTATATACACGTACCGCACCAAACGTTAGCTAGCTAGCGTGCCTTGTCCTTGTTCGCCTCCCCAAACCGATTTAGCGATTTAGCTGGCTAATTAGCCGAATTAGCCGTCGTCGGCTAGATCCTGTGAGGTTACCTTGTTCGAGCCCAATTCGATGTCGAATGATGTGGCTGCTTACGTTGATTCTGGCTCGCAAGCTAAGACGACCAGACTGAAGTTAGCTTCTTATTCGCCAGCTTCATATATGAATTTTCCGTTCCACCTTAAATGGTGCGTCGATCACATTCTGGCGCATGTAGGTTAATTTACGCCTACTACACCAGTACCCCACTGCAGCGCGATTTAAGGTGGAATGTAAAATTCGGATAAAAAGCTGGTGAATAAGAAACCAACTTCAGCCTGGTGCTAAAATGGCTATTTAGCAGTAGCACAGTTAGCTAGTCCACAGTAATATAGTAAAGTTAGCTAATCAGACTGGTCGAGAAAGAAGGAAAGGACGCAGTTAGTGCTGGTCATTCATTGAAAGGTAGAAGTTATTGTTAACGGCACATGGCTAACTTGTGTAGCTGGTTATCTGAAAGGCTTGGTTACTAATGTTAAAGCCAAACCTTTAGGTCGCTGCTGCGTAGCGATAACTTAGTACAGCCCTTTGGGGTATTTTCGTTAGAATTGTCATGCGTGAGTGGTGCTGACATATCAGTATTTCACCGTGTTTTAGAAACGCGGCCTCTCGGGAATTCAGAATGTACAGATGCGAAACGTTTCTGAAGAAGCATCGACGAGTTTTGGTCAGTGTTAACGATACAGTGTAGCATCGAATTATTGCTACAGGACATTTAGTGTGGCGAATGAAATGATCTATCACCACTAACTACCACATAAAGGTGTGTAAACTGTTGTAACTGCTGTGTGTCTCCGGTTTGCTTTTGCCAAAAAACATAAAAGTCAGCCGGTGGAACACAGGCAGCTCTCTCTGATGTGGCGACAGGAGACGGAAACAACACCACTATAGACACTCGATTGTAAAGTAAAACAAAAAGGACTTCTGAAACTTAAGATTTTACATCCCCGTTAATCCTGTGGTATAAACACGGTCCTCACATTTAGATCCATGGCTTGCTAAATTTCTCTATTGTTTAATCAAAAATTTTCTCGACAGTATGTGTCATGTTATTACCTTCGTCATCTCACTAAAGTAGCTTGATAGCTATCTAGATTGACTGGTCTAGCCAAGAAATGAGTCATTTCAAGCCAAGCGGTTCATGTCAGCCTGCAGCATAGCTAGAGTAACTCTGTCAAAGTGTTACACTGGTTTTATTCAAGTTAAAAATGACTGGATTTTAAAAAATGCTTGAAAGTACTAAGCTTGCAAATCTGCTAGTGGAGCATGTCTGGATTGCTGCATTCACATACCAGCTGATACACATGACTTGATACACATGACAGGTGGGGAAGCAAATGTCTGTGTTGACCTTTGCTATCCTGTAATTCATTTCAGCCTGTTTATCATGACAGGTTTCTTTGCAAATGGTCCACAGCGACTAGGAAATCACTAAGTGTTGTTTGTGCTTTTGGCTTAGGTCCTCAGTGCAGTCTGCCCTGGGGTTTTTCACTTACTTGTGTTATCAAAGTAAAAACTAAGAAGTCATGTTACTGCAAAAACAAATTTATTTCTTTGCATTAGGCCTTTGATTAAAGTATACTTTCTGTTTGTTACAGTGACACAGAAGCTCGGATCACACTTGGCACCCTGTACAACCTGCGGCTTTAAAAGTGCACATCAAGTTTTACAGCAGGCTGTTGGCCGACCGTCTCAGGTCACCCCTTATGTTGAGTGAATGCTGCCCACAGTTCCACAGACAATGGATGACCTAAGTTTGAAAGGCCGTGTGCTTTATCAGTTTGTACTAGTCTGTGAACGGATCCTGCCCTACTTCATTCACAGTACCCTTCCAGTGCTTTCCTCAAACTCTTTAGTTTGTAAGAGTATTGACTTCATCTGAACTGCTTGTCAGGAGGGCAGAGAATCTGAATTTTGTATCTCCATAGAAGAAAAAAAGGTAGAAAAGAAGCCTCTCGGTCTTTTTTGTTACCTTTCTATGGATATATGGATGTGATATAGTCTTCGTGTGCCTGCTCACTCTCTGTGGGTGAAGATATGTCTGAAAGCCTCAGAGACAAAATGGTCAAGTTTCTGTCACCCCCCTCGAAGAACACCAACAGCTCCAGCTCAGACTCGCTGTTAGGTGAACGGATCGGTCCTGAAGTCCGTCGCCGCCATCACACCATGGAGCGAGAACAGCTGAAAGGCGAGCACCGTTTTGTCCGTCGCAGTGTTATTTGTGACTCTAATGCTACAGCTTTGGACCTTCCCAGCAAAGTCTGCGTTCTGGGCTCACCACCAGACTGCTCCACTTCCTCCACCGACCACACTGCTGAGGAAACCAAAGCCACTGCTTCAGTTGACCTTACCGGGGTTGATGGGCCAGTGGTGGTGAAGGCAGAGGGTGCAGGTGATGGCATCCATGAAGAGATAGTTGCAGAGAAGAGACCTTTGGTGTCATTGGGTTGTGATAGGGAGACGAAACTGGTGCCTGCTCTGGGACCACCCAGTGAGGTGTCGGAGCTGGAGGCAAGTAGCATAGGTGCAAAATGTGAAAAGGATGAAGATGAGGAATGCAAGGAGAGAGCTCGAGTGGAGGCAGAGCAGCGTGAGGCAGAGAAGAAGGAACAGGAGGAAATCGAAGAGGTTGAGACAAAGGCTGTTGGTACCTCGCCTGATGGTCGATTTTTGAAGTTTGATATCGAGATTGG